AAAATAAATTCAAAATCACAATACCAATTTCATAATATTTTGGTACGATATAATTTGGTATTCTTGGATACTATATTAATGACATCGTTAATTAATAATCAAATATATAAAATAAAACTGGTCTGAAACTCCTAATCCTGAGCTCTTTTATGATCTGCTATAGGCACATATCATTTCATTTCATAATTGAAAAAATCTTTGTGCCGGGAAGTCTCATTTGTTCAGTCTATACATATCTTTTCCGCAGCGTCGTTTTGAGGAAGTGAAGCTTGAAGCAGAAACGGCACCGTGATATGGAAAGAAATCCGGCAAGTGGAAACTCGCAGTTGAAACGTCGTCGTGATTTGAAGAAAGTACCCAACACAACAACTACTACATGTAACATACGTCAGGTTTATAGTTGTTGTGTTTGTTGAGGAATGAGCTACCTATGCAAGTACGTAGGTAGGTATAGTTCATCAGGCAAATTCCCCCGTGAGAAGCATACATCATGCAAGTACGTATGCTGCATGCAGTTTCCAACAAACACAGACCGCGCGCATGTGGGCGGGCGAGCTGGTGAGATCCGCACGCATCTTCCTTCTACATAAACACGGCATGAAATCTGGAGCTAGTAAAAAGCCTCAACTCCAATTTTCTGCTTATATACATCACGAGTTTCGCACCCTAGAGAAAAATAAAGCAGGGTTACGTCAGTTAGCTAGTTAGTTCCGATTACCTTCTGATCTGTCATCTGTCCATAACTTCATCCCTCGCTCAGTCGCTCTTATTATAAATAGGCTACGTGCATAGGTATATTTCACTTCACTACCGCATCAATATAATATTGCTCCTCTGAATTAATACTTGGCTCCAAATGTCACACACCAAAATGTTGAGGGTTATCATCACTTCCACAATCCTCTTGTTGTCGTTGCTGCTAGCACGACCACCTCCGGCGGACTCCACCGGAAGCCAATTTGGCCGCGGCGGTTCAGGCTCTTCCTCCGATGATGATGTTTACATTGTGTATATGGGGGCTGCAAACCCAACAAACTTGGCCATGAAAGAAGCGGTTCTCGGCTCTCTACTTCAGAGGTGATTTTGTTTATTTGTTAAATTTAAATCGGACAATATTCATTCATACTTTTATTTATTATTTATGATGATTTTGGGCTCTCTTACAGCGGGGGGAGGCAGGAGATGGACATCTTGAACACGTACAGTCACGGGCTATCGGGGTTCGCGGCCCGTCTCTCAGCCAAGGAGGTGGAGTCCATAGCAGCCCAACCAGGAGTGGTGTCGGTCTTCCCGGATTCCAACCTGCAGCTTCACACCACCAGATCCTGGGACTTCCTCCAAGACCTCAGTGGATCCAACGCCGTTCCTCCTCTCCCGGCCTCTTCACGCCCCGACAGCAGCAACGTTGTAATAGGCATCTTCGACAGCGGGATATGGCCCGAAGCCCAAAGCTTTCGACACGAAGGAACCAATCTCAGCGTCCCACGTGGCTGGAAGGGTACCTGCGTCACCGCAGCAGACTTCAACGAAACTGCCTGCCATGGGACGTAAGCCACCGTGTCACAAAGAAATTATTATAATAATTGCTGTTATACTCGCTCCTAGTTTCCGCATCTTAATAAATTAATTATTTTTATATTTATAATAACTAAAATTCGTTTTGCCATGGTTTAAAGGAAAATCGTTGGAGCGAGGTACTACATCAGCGACAGCCCAAGGGACAATGACGGGCACGGGAGCCACGTGGCGTCGACGGCGGCCGGAGCGGCGGTGGAGAAAGCTTCTTTCTACGACGGCCTTGCCGCGGGCACCGCCAGGGGAGGGTCGCCGCCTGCAAAAATTGCGGTGTACAAAGTTTGCGACGAGGATGATTGCCGGTCCCGTATCCTCCTCCACGCATTTGATGACGCGATCGCCGACGGTGTCCAAGTCATCTCCATGTCACTCGGCTCTCGCCATCTCAAGGAGTTTCTCGAGGACCCACAGGCCATCGGTGCCTTCCATGCCGTCGAGCATGGGATCACGGTCGTTTGTTCAGCCGGAAACAGCGGGCCCCGGCCGTCGACGATGTCTAATGATGCGCCGTGGATCGTGACAGTGGCTGCCTCCACCGTGGACAGGGATTTCCGATCCGACATCCTCCTGGGCGGAGGCAAAGTTGTAAAGGTAATTCAATAATAAATATATCCATAATTTCCGGAAAAGAGATGTATATGTATATTTCTTGTAGAAAAAGGTTCTAATATTTTGCAAAAAGGTTTATTTAAACCGAGCTGCTAATTTACTTATTTTCTACAAACAGGGGGAATGGATAGGGCTACCGGATCTGAGTCGATCGCCGATCTACCCGCTGATAGACGGCCGATCAGCAAAGGCAGGCAATGTGTCCTTCCGTGCGGCAAGGTGGTCTCTCTTAATTTCTATACATTTACTTTTTCCGGAAATTACTTTGTTTAATTCTTGTTGATTAATGTCACTAATTACGAACCAACCAAGTGACCAAACCGTTTATTCAATTTACAGAGGTTGCAAACCCGGTTCCCTAGACAAGAAAAAGACTCGAGGAAAATTGGTGATCTGTGATATCAAAGACGAGGGCAACGACGGTAAGTATATCAACCAAGTGGTGGAGGTGGCAGTTAAAGGCGGGTTAGGTGTAATAATCGCTAACAACGAATCCAAAAGGGTGGCCCAGTACCTATGGGACGTACCCATCACGAAGGTCGGCTCTAGGGAAGCTGCACAACTTATGGCATATCTCAAAACTAACAGGTACACGTACTGTACATATAATAGCTTAGAGTTAGACAACAACAAAAGTTTATTCATTTAATTTCCCCATTTGTATTTTGGACCAAACTTAAAGTTGATTCATCACCTAATTAATAACGAATCATTATTGAACATATATATATATATAGGAAACCTTTGGCAACCATCCTGCAGACCGTAGTTATGGGAAACTATACACCAGCACCAGAAGTTGCATTCTTCTCGTCCAGGGGACCTTCGAGCAAAGCGGCTGACATTATCAAGGCAAAAAACCAAATGACTCCCTCGATATTTGTTTCCTTTTTTCTTCCCATTACAACGCCTGACTGTTTCACATTTGGATTTGGTTATTATCACTTTCTTGGCAGCCCGACGTAACTGCCCCTGGCGTGGACATCCTTGCCGCTTCTTCGTTAGGCGAAGAGTCACCGAACAAGCCAAAAGGAAGACCTAAGTCGAGCTTCAATATCGCGTCCGGAACTTCAATGTCGTGTCCTCATGTTTCAGGGGTTGCGGCCAACATCAAGGCCGCTAACCCTGCTTTCAGCCATCCCCATTAAATCCGCCATAATGACCACAGGTAATTAAAACGAAATATATCTTCATTTTCTTAATTATTTCATCAACGAAAAGTTATTCCTTTTTTTTCATTATTATTATTATTATTATTATTATTATTATTATTATTATTATTATTATTATTATTATTATTATTATTATTATTATATCGCACGTTTATCATCCACCAACCGAGACCACTAATAAGATGTTCTTTTTGTTGTTGTTTTAGCCTTTTCGAATAACAACCTGGGATCTCGGATTACGACACACACAGGAGCGGAGGCCACTCCTTATGATTTGGGAGCAGGAGAGGTGAATCCAAGGGGATCCCTCAACCCAGGGCTTGTGTACGAGACGGAGATTACACACTACCTGCGCTTCATGTGTTACTATGGCTACGACACCAAGACCATACGGTTCATCTCCAAAACCGCACAGTCCTCAAACTTCTCGTGTCGTCCTAACTCCAGATCGAGCCTCATCTCCAATCTCAACTTCCCGTCGATTTCGGTTCTGTTGCGGCGCCCAAACCAAATCAGGACGGTTCGGAGGGTATTGACCAATGTTGCGGGCAACGGTAACTGGACCTACTTGGCAGTGGTGGAATTGGGAGGATCAGATGCTGCTCATCAAGTGCCTTGTGTTAAAGTCAAGGTATTTCCGACAAGGTTGGTGTTCACCAGAAATGGAGAAAGGCGTTCGTACAGGGTTAAAATTTCGACCAAGGATGGTTATACTACGAACCAGCAGGTCGTGTACGGTTGGATAACCTGGACCAACCCACATTTCAAGGTTCGGTCCCCATTCGTCATCCGAAGCAATTAATTTGTTCCACAAAGCGGCCGGTTATAAGTCGGGGATTTTAGGGCGAGAAGGCCATGGGCTAAGGATGTTTGGAGAGGAGGTCAAAGATGTTTGAAGGAAGTTGGGGATTTTAGGGGTTGTTTGTTTAATTTGAATTTGGTTTGATTAATGAAGAACAATTTAGTAATATTATGTTTTAAATTAATTAGGACGATAATAATAAAAATAGGACAACGTTTAGCAGTTCAGTAATTTTGTCCCACCTTGGTGTTTCTAGTTAAACACTACTACGTACTTCTCCCTTACGTCAGTTCAGTAATTTTGTCTCACCTTGGTGTTCTCGACACTACTACTTCTCCCTTTATTGATTATTGGGTAAGAAATTGAAAAACAAAAAGAAGAAAGAGTTCTTCTATTTTTTTTCGTTGAATAGAGTTCTTCTATTCATTCAACTTGTATACGGATATAAATTCTTCTTGAGGAGATATGGATAAGCTTTTACCAAACAAAGATATATTCATTAAAGCTCGAAATTTATTGGCTGAATTAACTGAAAACTAGAGAAAAGGCAATTAAAAAGGAAAAAAAATGCAGTGTTTAAAAAGCCATCAGTCAAATAATCAAAAAATGACCGAGAGTTGTGAACTGCAATAACCATACGGTTGCAATAAGAATTTATCAAAAAGAATTTATCAAAAAGAATTTGTTTCTTGCCTATAATCATGGAGAATTTAAATAAATCTACAAAGTATTTTATTCAAACCCCTTATATAAACATGTATAATAATGGGTGTTCTAGTTATTAGTATATGACATTATTTCCATAAAAAAAGTTACTAGAAAAAAATATCGAGAATTCAACCATGGCGAAAAGATCATCATCATCAATTATTTTCATTCTTCTGCTAATTTGTCTCTTCCATGGTAATTATCTATATTTGTATGGTTTCGTATCGCGATTTTCATTTGGATGTATTTAGTATAAATGTACCTTCTGTTGACAATTAATCAACGTATTTTGATTTGTTAAGTGATTAATGTTTGTTAATGAAAATCAGGGAACACGATCGTAGCATTCCAGCGTCATAGATTAGGGCGGGGGACAGAGTATTGCGACAGATTCGCTTCTTTTCCTCAAAAGCTTTTGCATATCCGAGATGGTTATTGCTATGACTCAGTATGTGACAACGCATGCAGAAACAAGTTTGGAGGTATTGGACTACTAGTAGCTGGGCAATGTGAGGACAAGTCTTGTGCATGCTATGCCCCTTGCTACGATCTTTTTGATCCACCACAAACAGATGCAAAATTAAACTAACGAGATAGACTAATTTCCTTGCAACTAAATAAATGAATTGGCAGACTCCAATTATCAATTTTCCAGTTGTTACAAGTTATTATTTGGTATGTTATATCTTTTCTTCCTGCTTTGTTGTTTAATAGATCAATAGGGAGAATATAGATAGCTTACCTAGTCAATGAAAAGATTAATAAAGGTTCAGTTAGTCCATAAGTGAAGATGTGTTTTTGCAATTTCAAGGCTCTAGAGTCTAGATTAATTGTCCTGTTTATGGATTTCATCACTCTATTACAATTTATTTTGGGTTGTTTTAGCTTTGAATAATGACTGCACTATATCGCCTGTTATTTACAAAATATACGGAAAATTGGATAGATCGTACTGTGATTAATGATATCGCGATCAAGTTATGCGTGGAAATAACTTGACACCACACCTACATCTAATCAAGTTTATACTGGGTGGGAATTACCCTGTACGACGACTTTCCTGAGCATAAGATAAAAACTAATATAGGGGAGTTAAATAAATATGAGTTTTGAAATGTATTTGCAAAACAAAAATAATGGAATCGTGTTAGAGAAACCAAAAACCGAATATTTGTTTGTTTCTTGATATTATTATGGAAATGTTCATGTATAACAAGTAATATAAAATATTATGAAATCAAGCAAACACATGCAATTGTTCTAGTTGATACACTGTCTTTTTTAAGATATCTCATTCCCTTATATTATCTAAGGTTACAAATGGATTCCTTACATGATAGAAAGGATGTAACTTTGTCGGCATAGTTGTACCTCAAACATTGTAAACCAACGAACGCAGTGAATTGGCGAGAACCATAGTGACTCGAATTTTCTTTGGAAAGACAGTAGAAAATCAATTTTGTATTTTGTCAGAGGTTTTATAAGAAAAATCATGTATCCATATATCGAAAACCAGAGAACCAGAGGAGTTTGGTGATATTAATAGAAAATGAGGGGGTGTATGATAAATGAGGGGATAGGTTACGGTGATTACTTCAAAAGTGGTAATCACCATGGTTACTAAGGGTAAATTGGGTATGAAAAATGAATTGCATTAATTGATTTTTTTAATAAATTACATTTTACGTAGTTACAAAAATCTATTAATTACAATTCTCTCTCTTCTCTCACTTCCATAATTTTCAGCCAGATCTTCTTTCCTTATTTTTTTTTCAATCTTTCTGCAAAAGAAAAAAACACGAAATCACTACCAATCTATTAAACAACCACTACCACTGTGAAAAACATCAATACCATTGCATAAATAAATCTGTACCATTACACAAAAACTACCAACATAAACAATCTACCAATATAAATCTATACCATTTCACAAAAAACCAATACCATTGCATATTTAATCAATACCAATACATGCAAATTAATACCATTACATGATAATCAATACCAATGGGACAAAAACATACCAATGAAACAAAATCAATACCAATGCGACAAAAACAATACCATTGAGGCGAGAGGGTCGAAACACAGATCACTTGTCCATCGGCTCCTCCCGCTGCCGGGTAGAGAGAGAGAGAGAGAGAGAGGGTGGGGTGGGTTGGGGTGGAGGGGAGGGGAGGGAGGAATGGGAGAGGGAGGGCGGTGGGGGTGGGGTGGGGTGAAAGGGATGGGAGAGGGGACGACGACGGGGTGGGGGTGAGAAAGCTAGGGCTGGCAACGGTGGGATGGGGGAGGATGGATTGTAGTAGGGTTTAGATATGTATAGAGTAATCAGGTGTGACTTTTTTTTATTTTTAAAATTATCCTCAATATAATCTAACCATTAATTTAAAATTAAGGTGAAATAGATAGAATGAATGGTGTAGATATTAGTAGCCACCATGCTCACTAAAAAATAAGTAACCATGCTAACCTATTCCGATAAAGGAGGCAACTCTTCAGATGGGTGGTTGAGCATGATCTATTGCAGTAGTTCATTAAAAAAATATCCAACCAATGAATTGATTCGTCCCATGGTAGTTGAACCGGTTGGCTCATTTCAACCACCATATTGTTTCGGATTGTTTACACCAACCAATCTACCTAATTATCAAAATATTTAATCAAATCGAACGAATTCGAGGTCATCTTCCTACATCTCACCAATATGGTATTTCAAGAGTTTCTGTTAGCTCCTTCCTCTTTCATTGTCAATCACACCAATTTAAATCCTAACAGATATCCAATGGGTGATCGTCACATCACCATAATATTGCCAACTTATATTTAATTAGATCACACGATTAACTATTGGACATCTTTATTACTATGGACATTTTGCTTTACTTCCAATTCATATCGCATTTGCAAACCGTTTACAAAGTGAAAAACATTGAGCTTCATTTCGACTTGCTTAATGTTTATTCTCGCTGTACTGTATAAGCTAGTAGCAAAAGTGCTAGCAAATAGACTGAAGAGGGTGTCGGATAAGGTGATATCGTCGGAGAAAAGTGCGTTCGTCCCTGGACGATATATCTCAAATAACATTATGGCGGCGTTCGAGTGCTTCCACATGATGAAGAAAAAAGGAAAGAAGGGAACAAGATATTTAGTAGCAAAAACATATATGACCAAAGCTTATGATAGGGTGGAGTGGCATTTCCTGGATAAAGATGATCATGATCTGTGTTAGCACGGTCTCGTTCTCAGTGTCGGTGAATGGACATCACTCTCCCCGATTCCAGCCGAGTCGTGGCTTGCGACCGGGAGACCCGTTATCCCCGTATCGTTTCCTTATTTGTTCAGAGGGGTTATCAGCATACATAGCTAAGGTTGTAAAGGAGAAGAATATTCATGGTATTTAGGCGGCACGTGGGGCGCCAATGGTATCCCACCTGTCTTTTGCTGATGACTGTATCTTTTTTGCCAAGTCTTCTATAGAAGAAAGTTTGGAACATAAAAAGGTACTACAAGTTTACGAGAAAGAGTCAGGCCAGCTGGTCAGCTTCGAAAAATCTGAAGTGTCTTTCAGTTCCAACGTACTGCCACACAGGTAGTTGGAAATAGGAGGAGTGCTCGGAATGGAGATAGTGCCAAAGCATAACAAATACTGACTCGCTATGACACAACTCCTGACAAAGGCCAAGTGTAACCAATGAAAGAGACTGCAGTATAGTGGCTCAAGTAATAAATATCGAATCCACGGGTCTCTAGAGTTACTATTACTCAGCTTCAGTTCATTATCTAGCAAACCAGATTAAGATGAAAGAACAAAAACTACTCTAGCAAACTACAGTTAAAGTTAATCTAATTACAGGTTGGGAACTCACTTAGGTATGATCCCCCCAGCCACTAGCCAGATTGATGATCTCTAACCTGTTTCACTTTCATTCACAATGCGGAGAATCCTTGACTAGACCTTGAGTCTCGACTAAAGGAACAAGGTCCTCTTGAGTCAATTGCCTAGAGGGACGTATCCTTCTCTAGAACAACCGATCAAGGCGTTCTGAACTAGATTCCCTCTATTGAATGAGGTTCTCAATCGATACAAAGCATTGAATCAACCCTCGACTAAAGCAATCGATCCAATACTATCAATGTATGGTGCTCTATTGACCTAATAAGGTATTCGCTCTCATAGGATCAAAGCAGAATCAATAATCTCGACTAAAGCAGAATTGAATCATGAAAACATGCATAAATCGAATATGAACTCAAGATTATCAAGTAGGAGTACTCATACAATCATCAATCAAACAAAGATGGCTAGGGTTCCTCAAAACCTAAGTGAAGGGAAGTTACTCCATAGAGAAGAGAGAGACTGCAGTAAGAATCTTCAGATGATCAGTCTTCAAGTCTGGGCTTGTTCCTCGAGCTTCCAAGGCAAAGAAATCCTCCAATTCTACTCCAAGAATGCCCTCAAATCTCCCTCTCTCTCTCTTTGGTTCGTCCCTTGGGTGTTTGGGATCCAAAACTCGTCTCCCTCTTTCCTTTGGCTTGAATCTGCCTCAAAAACCCAATTCTGGGCAAAACACGGTCGAGGGCACGACAGTGTTTTAATTTTGCCCACCTGTGTTTTGCCCCCAGCAGCCCTCACGACACGCCCTCATCGGCCAAAACACGGTCGTGCCTAAATATGGACACGGCCGTGTTTTTAGGGTAGTCTGCCCGTATTTTTACTGCCGAACTTGTTACTTTATATTCAATGCTTCATTTCTCCCTCGTCTGGACTTCGAATCAGTCGCCCTTTGATCCCAGACGCTCGTAGTCTCGTCCTCTTTCTTTTCATGACAAGCTTGCATGATTCTTTGTCCATAAATGAGGCAGAAATCCATTCTTCTTCATGTCATGCCCGAGTTTCTTCTCCCGAATCGTCAATTGATCTCTGATTGACTTGAAACTTGCAACTATGCTTCACTTTATGTGCTAGGACCTGAAATGTGACAAAGTAACACAAACTAGCGTAAAATAGGCCAAAGACGCGATAATTAAAGCTCAAACAATCAAGAACCAAAGGGGAAAACATGTGCAAATATCGAGTCATCAAATACCTCGGCCTCGCTACCGAAGCTGGGCAGCCCAAGAAAGAATTGTTTGAGGAAATTAATGAACTAACAAGGGAGAAGTTGAACGACTGGAAGGAAAAGACACTATCAGTAGTTGCGAGGGAAGTGTTAATCAAGTGGCTGGCACATGCGCAACTCACCTATGCGATGTCTGTCTTTAAAATGCCGGAGGGTACGATTGATGAGATGCACAGTATGATAATGAATTTTTAGTGGGGTCAGAAGGCACAAGAAAGGAGAACGCATGGACTACGGAGGGAAGAAATGGAAAGCCCAAAGGAGGAGGGGGAATGGGATTCATAGATTTGTGAGGTTTCAACTCAGCCCTCTTGCCAAACAACTTTGGAATCTTTTGAAAAGACCAAAATCCCTTATTGCTCGCATA